AAAATTTGTTTTACTTTATATATTCAAATATTATAAATTTATCAAATAATGTATTATTATTTTATATAAATTATATGCATATAATATATTTTTAATTTTAATATATTATAAAGATAAAATTTATCGCTTTAAATATTTTTCTTACTTTTCAATTTATAATTTTGTAATTTATTAATTTATTTATGTTAAATATATCATAAATAATGATTTTGTCTTCATAAAAATAATATATTAAAAATAATTTTTTAGTGTCTAAATAAATTATATGTTTTAAAAATTATAACATTAAAAGTAAATTAATAAAGTGAAAAACAAGAACAATATAAAATTAATAAGAATTAGTGTCCATAATATACTAAAAAATAAAAATTATAAAAATAAATTATATGCAATTACTTTATTTATATAAAGTGATGAATACATTACTAATTAAATTAAGAACTTAAAATTAATTTAATTACCCTAATATAAAATATTCTTTGTTATTTTTTTTTCAGCTTTTTTGTTTATTTAGATATGTTAGTACTAAAAGGAGTTAATAGTAATGCCTTAAAAAAAACAAATTTTTTTCAAGAACTAATTCCTTATCTTTTTAATAAAATGGTTAATATAAATGTACTGACCGTAGTTCGCACCCGGGTTCCGAGCCCGGATTAGCGATACAAAGCCACCCCGGGCACACGCTGAGCGACGTCAGCCCGGTAATTGGGGCCCGGTATTTGGGCAGATCATTCCCGAACCCGGGGATCTCGTCCCAAATCAGAACCGCCCTCCAATTATATCATATCATATCTCATCATATCATATCATATCGTATGATATCTTATCATATCATGTCTTATCTCATGCCCAAGGCCCAAGACAACCCTAATTCACACAAAGGTATGTGCATTATTTATACGAGACTCGTACTCCCACAAACACTAACTTTAGCATCGGAGTCTCTTTTGCAGGTACCACCCCCATCTTGGAGCACCAGCGTACTAGTGAAGGAGGCTCGCCGATCTTACCCGGCGGATCAGCTCTACAGCAGATTTCCGGTAAGAACATTTGGCGCCCACTGTGGGGCCGATCAAGACCAGCTCTTATCGGCCATTCTTATGGTTTTCACTAGAAGCCATAACAGACGCGCAACAGACGACCTAGATCGCTCAACTACCATGGATAGTGATGCAGCAACATTGAGGAGGCTGATCGACCAGGTCGAACAGATGCGGAAACAACACGCCGCCGACCTACAAAGCATGCGTGCCAAGCACGAAACTGATCTAGCAGCAACGCGCACCGCTAATGAAGCCGACCTAGCGGCACTACGCGCCGAGAACGAGCGCATTCACACCCAACTCCCTCGGCGTCCCTCAGATCAACCCCCTCCGCAGAGTAACCTGAATAAGGACGAAGGGCACTCGGTTTCACAACCGCCAACACCGGCTAGGGCACCGACTCCCAAGCCTCCCACACATCGGTCTCACGCGCCGACGAACAGGTCGACGCACGACGTCAGCAACGCCCCTGCCCACGGCACGGGGAATCAGACAACCTTCCGCCGCCATCCTTTCGTGGACGGTATCATGGAGACACCTATCCCCTTTGGGCGGAAGCCTTTCCACCTCGATCGCTACGACGGCACAACCGACTCGGACGAGCATATCAATCTATACACCACCCAGGTAAACCTCTATACTAATGAGGATGCTATACTGTGCAAGGTTTTCCCAACCTCGCTCAAGGGGGCTACTCTCAACTGGTATACCCAGCTACCTGCCGAGTCAATTGACAGCTTCGGCACCCTGGTCAAACGGTTCACAGCGTAGTATGCGACAACTCGGCGTCATCACATAACGTCAGCTGCTCTGGCCAGCCTCAGACAGAGCGATGACGAACCACTACGGACATTCATGCAACGCTTTGTCAGCATCTCGGTGAAAATTCAAAATTTGAATCCCGAGGTCGCCCTACACGCCATGCTCATGGCACTCAAGCCCGGACCGTTTGTCGACAGCCTATGTCGCGAAGCTCCTCGCGACATGGACGAGCTACGCGCCCGTGCTGCTGGATACATCCAGATGGGAGAACACTCCGCCTTCCGTGACCAGGATCGCGGAAAACCACAAGGAAAGCAAGACCAAGGTCAGGCCACAAACATTTAAACATTTAAAATTCTGAGGTCGAGTACGAACCTTAAACATTCCTATCCGAGGTCGAGAACGAACCTTGTTAAAATTCTGAGGTCGAGTACGAACCTTAAACACTCCTATCCGAGGTCGAGAACGAACCTCGTTAAAATTCTGAGGTCGGGTACGAACCCTGGTACTCTCGTTAAAAGTCGAATACGAATCTTAATCAAATCATTCATGTAAAAACCCGAGGTCGAGCACGAACCCCGGTACTGTCGTTAAAGTTTGCATACAATAGGGTTGTCCATAAAACTACCAACCTTCCTCCTTTTGAGGTAGTATATGGCTTTAACCCTCTCACTCCTTTTGATATACTTCCATTGCCTAATACTACTTCTTATTTACATATGGAATGATTATCTAAGGTTGATTTTATAAAGAAACTCCATGAGACGGTTAAAGACCAAATTCAAAAACAAACTCAAAAATATATTAAATACAACAACAAAGGGAGAAAGAAAATTGTATTTGAGGAAGCAAACTTAGTTTGGCTTCACTTGAGTAAAGATAGATTTTCTACACAAAGGAAGTCCAAACTAAGTCCAAAAGGAGATTGTTCATTCCAAGCCCTACAAAGGACAAATGATAATGCATATAAGTTAGATTTGTCGTCTGAATATGGTTTTAGCAACACATTTAATGTTTGTGATCTTTTACCTTTTTAGGTCATTTTAACATTAATGAAGAAGAGCTAGATCTAAGGTTAGATTGTTCCCAAGAAGGAGGGTATGATGGAGGACCACCCATAGGAATCTCACATTTGAAGGTCATTGGACCTTTTACTAGGTCCATGGTTAGAAGGCTTGAGGAGGCTTCTAGATAGGAGGTGTTTCTTAGACCTATGTTTTATATGAGCATTAAGTATGTTTCCTCTACTTACTTTCATAGTCTCTATTATATATACATCATATAGTATGAGTTTCTTTCCCTTGTACATAGTAGATACATGTGAAGGCTTACTTTTGCCTTTATATTTCTAAGACACCTTTATATTTCTTTATATGTCATACCCTTTTCATTTTAGGTTATGTTACTTGGAGACTTTCACTCCATTTGACCTTATATTGATTTTTATATTTTTGGTTTCAGTAGTGGGGATGCAAATAGTAATTGTGTAGGTGAAGCTAGAAACTAGGCCTTCAGTGGACCTAGGCTAAATTTTACATATTAGGCTTGTTTTTCTCCATTTAATCCAAGGAATTGATTTAACTAGGTTTGTCAGAAGCTAAAAAATTATGATCTTACCCATAGATGGTTTAGACTTCCAATTTGAAAATCTCATCAATTAAGGAATGCCTGGAAACTAGACTAATCTCTAATCAATGATTTTGAAAATAGTTCAATGGGGTCGTTACCGGTGTTTTACTCAAAATATCAAAAAAAGAGAAAAGATTTTAAAAAATGCCAAAAATGGCCTTTACAACCAAAATTGGGTTTGAGGGTCGGTTACGTGTAGGGAAGGTTTCAAGGTGGCCACCCCATTGCATATTTTAGTGAAAAACTAAGTGGTCCCACCTTGAACTATCTCACCTATGACAAAGAGCAATATGCTCTCATCAGGGCCCTCAAAACATGGGAACATTACTTAGTGATAGAAGAATTCATTATACATACTAAACATGAGTCACTTAAGTATTTGAGAGGGTAACGTAAGTTAAATAAAAGGCATGCTAAATGAGGAGAATATTTAGAATAATTCCTTTATGTTATCAAATATAAGGAGGGGAAAAATAATGTTGTAACTGATGCACTCTCTAGAAGATACACATTATTTACTACCCTTAGTTCTTAAATTCTTGGATTTGATAACATTAAGGAATTGTATGAGCATGATCTAGATCTTCAATCCACCTATGCTCAATTCCTTAAGAAAGTTGTTGATGGATTCTATATAGTGAGGACTATCTTTATAAAATGGACAAAGTGTGCACACCCAAAGGATCCATTAGAAAGTTTCTAATTAAAGAAAGTCATGAAGGAGGTCTTATGAGCCATTTTGGAGTTAATAAAACTTTAAGTTTTACAAAGGAAAGATTTTTTTTGGCCACACGTGAGAGTAGATGTCCAAAGGTATTTATTCTAAATATATAGCTTGTTTACAAGCTAAGTCTAAAGTTATGTCTCATGGACTCTAAACACCTCTTCCTATAGCTATCACCCCTTGGGTTGACATTAGTAGGATTTTGTGCTTGGTCTCTCAAGAACCCAAAGGGAATATGGTTCTATCTTTGTGGTAGGGGATAGATTTTCAAAGATGGCTCTTTTCATACCATGTCACAAAGTAGATGATGTTAACCATACCTTAAGACTTTTCTTTAGGGAAGTTGTTAGGTTGCATAGAATCCCTAAAATAATAGTTTCAAATAGGGATGTTAAATTCCTTAGTCACTTTTGGAAAACACTTTGGGAAAGACTAGGAACTAAACTTATATTTTCTACTACCTGTCACCTATAAACTGATGGGCAAATAGAAGCAGTTAATAGGTCCTTATCCATACTATTAAGGGTCATCTTCAAAAAACAAAAAGTATTGGGATGAACATATTCCTCATATTGAATTTGCATACAATAGGGTTGTCCATAAAACTACCAACCTTC